GATCAAATAAATGCAGGCTTGGTGAGCAGAAGAGAATTCTTTAAAAAAACATTAAAAATCTTACTGTTCAAAACCTTTTGACTGGTATGTTAGCCTATAGTTTGAAGTAAAAAATAGTAATATTAATACTAATAAGGAGAGTCTGAGATTTATTTGACAGTGATTTCACATTTCTTGTTTGTATGAAAGCTAAATACCAATAAAAGGTGAACATTTATTTGCGCCATTTTTTTCCTAAAATATTATATAGTTTTATAGGAGTAGGTTTCATAGAGTTGGCAAATACATTTTTCATAAGTTTGTATGCACAGACATCTGTTGTGGCCGTTCTTGGCCGTTTTTATGAGGCTTTTTTAATAGTGTTTATATCGATATCGGAATTATATCGTATCGACCGAAATTAAGAAATATATCGTGATATAAATTTTGGCCATATCGTCCAGCCCTAGTCCAAGCTAAAAAAGCACAACGTGAGCATAACGGTTAGCAGATCAATGAATGAGAGGGCAGTGTTACTAGAGTTGCCCATTTACCACACCTTGTTACAGCACATTAGGGCTATTGCAAACAGAACTGTATTACATAGATGTTTCCTGTCAGCTCGATTTTTGAGTGGACTTTGCTGTTCCGATGAGCATGAACGGTATATGAGTGGAGCACTCTCACGCTGGAATTTCAGTGCATCTCTAATTATTGGTGACATCAGAAATGGATATTATATAATAGCTGCTTTTTTGAACATTTTAGCAATTTAAAAATATTAAAAGAGGATTTTTTACACGGCACCCCTGCTCTCGACAGACGGCACCCCGGTTGGGAAACACTGGTGTAGGGTATTTCTGCAACAAGAGTGCTGTCATATCAGTCAGCAGAACATAAAAGTACACTTTAAAGGAATAGTTCAGCCAAAAATTCTGTCATTATTTATTCATCCTCATGTCATTCCGAACCTTTATGCTGGGGTCACTATGAACTGTCATTGAAAATAGAGCTGCATTAAAGATTCCTTTAGTGTTCCATGGAAAAAAAGTAACATCATACATGTTTGGAATGACTTGAGGGTGAGCAAATGATGACAGAATTTCCATTTCTGCATGAACTGATCCTTTAAGACTCACAAAGTGGTTGCAGTCCACACATACAAATTTGCTCAAAGCATTTTGCTCTTTTCCCTTACACAGGCCTCGTATTTTAGAGATGGACAAAGAGCTGCAGAGGCGTTCCCTCTCCTCCCGACAGAGACGTCACGGCGACGGCAGTTCAGAGAACTTGTGGAGGAGAGCTGACGAGAGAGAGCTGGGCTCACGCTACACACATGATCATGCACCCACACGACGAGTCAAAATGAGACGTCACTGAGACGCAGACGCCTTTACATTTGCTCGAGGGGATGGGAAGCCAACAGAGTGACTCAGTAAAAGAGAAGCTTCCGGATTGGGTGGATTCAAGGACATTAGACTGTGGCTGCTTTACTTATTAAGAGGCTTTATCTATCTATTCAGACATATCAAAAATTATACTTTAAGATCCACTATATTTTGTTCTGTGTGTTTAAAGGAAATGTATGGAATAAAAAGACATCTATGCTGACTAGTGGAATTCAATCATAATTCATCCGTTCATGTATCATGCCAGTGTCATGCATACAGCTCATGCACATAACAATATCAAATAAAAATGTGTACTGATCAATTTTTTCAAAGATGGATTTTTGAGAACTGCTCCTTTGACCATGTAAACATATTTGTTGGAAACATTTTGAAACAGTAGCTTAGAACAGGCAATCAAGCTACTTTTAATTTTTGCAAAATCTTAAGTCACAAAAAGTGAGAAGGAAAAAATTCATCAAATTTCTTTTTTCATGCCGATAGACTGACTTTAATAGTATGATGACAAAATGTCTTTGATTTGCATGCAGTGGCTTGTCGGTTGATTTGCCTGTGCACAGTGACTTTACTAACAAAGACGAGATTAAATCTAAGGCCTAGAATCATCTTTGATATGCTTGACATGCACAATATTAGTTTCCCATGTTACAAAAAAAACAGGATGAAAAAGTTAAATGGTCATCTCTTCGTTTGATTGCTGTTCTTTCTGTTCTCAATGCTTATTTTATTTTCTCTTTTTTCCCATTTAAGAGTGGTATTGCCATTATAACAAGTTCTGATTGACAAGCATGGTTATTCGTTTTATCTCTATTTCTGAAGGAAAGAATTCATTAATGTCAACATTACAGCTGTCATTCGAGACCTGTATAAGATTGTCATAATGGCAACAGTTTTATTTATTATATTCATACTGTTTGTTTCTGAGAATGAATGGGAGATAAAAATGTAAAAGAAAGATGATAGTGTCTGTCCCATTGAAGGTGTTCAAAAGAAAAGTGCATTTGACTTCATTAGACTCTATATATACTTTGTATTTAAGAGGCTGGCAGATGAAACTATTTCTGTTTAAAGGTTGAAAACAAATGGAGCAGATAAGACTGCATAAAAGATTAAAGGGAGATGTTCAGTGGGTTCTTGAAAGATTCTCTGTTCATTCTCCATTCATATCTGTTGTATTTTGTAGCTCACTTTTAAATACCAAAAACAATCTCACCCAATATTCCCTAAAACTTCTTTAGTTTTGTATTTGTAAGAAAGGTCTTCTCTTTTTTCAATTTGCAGTGTCCATCTATATGGAATAGGTAAATCATTTTCTGTCCAGTTAGTTTAACATACATAAAGTTTACATTTTTGCTCCAAGTCTTGATATTTATAATTTAAACTATGCACTGTTTATTCCTAAATAAAAATGTAAATATTTAGTGTGGCTGGATCTCTGTGCCACTATGTCATCTTGAATTGTTGGATAAACTATTTACCTCAGTGTACTCACTGTTTACCCAATAAATGTCCCACAGGATACGTCAAGTGCTGTTTGTAAGTGGAAAGAGTGCGTGACTGTCCACTGGTATGAGAGAACTTTCCAATTTTTCATAGAAAAATATATTGGGTTGATTACTGTGTTGCTTGTGGCTAGTGTTAATGTAATTGTTTTACATATGGTTCTTGGGGAAGACATATTACTGTTTTCAGTTTATAGAGGGGTGATAAAACAGCACCAAATGTATAGCCAAAGTACTCAAAATTAAATTATAATTTTAATAAATTATATATAATCTAGTTTATAAATGAATAAATTGAATCAGTAATACAAATATAACTTATTAAATAAACTGGATAATATGGAGTATGTTTTAAATTCATTTAACAGCACAAAGTACAACTAAATACTAATGTACAAAGTAATTATTTAATCTGGAGTTCTTCGGTTCGCCATACAAATGTAAAGGCAACTTCATTATAATATTTTCAAGAAAAATTTGCCATAAATTACACAAGCAATGAATTAAAAAAAAAAAATGTCACTAAGAAAATTAAAATAATACGAAACGATACCATTGATGTCAAAATAAAAACATTTTGAATTGACATAAAAGCATTTAAAATAATTTACGAAATTAAAAAAAATATATATTTACTTTTACTTTTAGTCATTTAGCAGACGCTTTTATCCAAAGCGACTTACAAATAAGAAAAAGTAATTAAAACTAAAAGCTAAAACTCTATAAATGCTATATATATACACACATTTAAGAAAATAAAAGAAATTAAATAAAAATGACAAATGCATACAACAACATTTCAAAACTAAAACATTTAAATGAAAATAAAAAAATAAAGCTAAAAACAATTCAAACATACACAAATAAGAAAAAGTAATTAAAGCTAAAAGCTTTTAAGAAAATAAAAGAAATTAAATAAAAATGACAAGTGCATACAACAACATTTCAAATGTAAGCAGAACTAAAGCTAAAAACAATTCAAAAATATTAAAAGAACAAAAGGTATGAGTATAATAATGATTCTAACATAACACTAAGCCAAACACCAAAAAAACAACTACATATGTGTATGTACAGTCACACACATATACATGTACATATATATACATACATTCTATATATATATATATATATTATTTCATTTCCATTTTGTATGTTGAAGTACTGAAATAACTCAAAATAAATA